CTGTGGATTCAAATGGGTTGGCCAGCTAAAGGTAGGTCAGAAAGGAACTTCCTGGTTGACGCGAGAGATACAACTGGCTGTTAAAATAAAGAAGGCTTCATTGAATGAATGGCTTCGAGTCAAAGTGCCTTCATTCTGCCTATGATCTGTAGCAGCGCACAAGGCGGCAGCGAAAACGGCGGTGGCGAAGACAAAGCTGATTCCTTGGAGAGGTTCGGTAAGGTGTTGGAGTCGAATGTCCAGAAAAGAAACATGATATTCTGGCAGACCATTCGTGTGCTCCTACGTGAGAAGAAGGGCAGTAGTCTAAGAGTATCGAGAGACAGGTCTGAACACCCTTTTACTGAGGATAAGGACATTGTTCAGCGATGGAGAGAGTAGTTTGAGGAACTCATTGACCCTGAGCCCAGTAAGTACACGCTGACAGCAGGTGCTGCATCAGAGTAAATGACGTCAAGTCGAAAGCACTGGTTTCCGCATGGCTGCCTCTTGTCCCCTCTTTTGTTTTTGTTGTACATGGATAGAATAGTCAGGAGCAGCCAAGGCGATAGGTGTATCGGTTTAGGAGATGTGAAGACGAGAAGGTTGCTGTTTGCAAACGACCTTGTTTTATTAGCATCTTCTGAAGCAGATCTGCAGTGCTCCGTAGAAGGGTTCGCAGCCGAATGTGACGTGACCGGCATGCGTGCGAACTCATCTAAAACGAAAAGCCGTATGTCAAGTCATAACTCTGTTGCTACATAGAGCTGATGCGGTACATTAATGGAGTTCAGTGCAGTAAAATGCGTTAAAGGAACAAACACTATAAAAAACAGAGCAGCATTTATTGAAGTTCATGTTTCGATTACAAAAGCAGTCATTTACACAAGTCAGAATGCAGATAGAGTGAATTATCGATGCGCGAGAACCCCGAATCGCCTCATCTGCAATTTTCTTTTTATATATTACGTTAAGCTAACAACGGAAGGTGATTATTGCATTTGTCGTTTTCTGTGCATACTGTGACTCATCAGATACGTAGATACCTTTGCCTGCAGCACATAGAAAGGTTTATCATTAGATAGAAAAAAACTAGACAAGCAGGTGTGAATTGTACCATGAAAGATTTTTATCTTCTTTCAACACCTCGCGTGACAG